TTGTTTCTGCCAGGCTTCACACATTGAGTGGACAAACAATCTATTCCAATTAAAGCGAGCTGCAGCCCTGCAGAAGGGGCTGTGCTCCATCAGATCACATCATCCTTTGAAAAACCCCAGAATGGCTGATTGTGATTTGGAGGAAACAAGCGCCTTCAGGAACAACTAGTGTGGGCTGGGGGCAGGGAGAGGGGTGTGCGGGTGGGTGGTGGACTGGCTACAAGTTTGTCCCGAAAGTTCCACAGCAAATAGTGTTGCAGAGGGGGAGGCGCTGGGTAAAGTCATTAATCCTGGATGTAGCCCCAGTTTACCGCTCTTACTGCATGTGTGAAGAGGAAGCAAATTAATTACGTGGCTGAGATTAATTAGGTGATGTTAAGGGAAATCTGTGACTGTAAAACTTTAGAGGGCTGCACAGCTGACTTGACTAATGGGGTGTTCATGAACTCTTAATAGATACTACTCTGATGTTGAGCAGTGTGTATGCAGAGCTGAGAGAGAGAGAGCTAATAACTAGAGGTGGAACCAGTGAGAGCAAATTGAAGATGTGTCCTGACTCAAAGTGATTTCAATGTTTAGGATTCAGAAAGCTTCATCTAGGTGCACCTGCACAAATCTGAGCTAAAGCTTTACATTATTCCCAGGTATGCACCCCCAGTTCATAAAGATGCTGTAATCAATATAGTCATGGTAATAATGGATTAAATGAATACAGTATGTGTAATGTGAAAGTGGCCACTTGTAATGATGGACTTTACTGACATTACTTTAGTTTACTAAAGTGTAGTCCCAGTGTAAATTTAATAAGTACATTTTTACCACTGACTAGAACTAAAGCTTTACATTATTTCCAAATACAGTATATTACTTTCCCCCCTTGTTTTGCAGTCTGTGATTTTGAGGGAAAATGGTTCATTTGGAAATTGCACCAGTCCTTCTTAGACACAGAAACATTGCTGCTGCTGTATTCTTGGTTTTGAGAAGAGACAAATGCATTCCTGTGATTTGCTACAGATGTGGCTGCTTTAAAAGACCACGGACACCTGACATCTTCAAAGCAAACTTAAAGCAGAACATGCCAGTTATATATAATCTCAGCACACGCCAAAAGACGTAAGCAGCTGTGTGATCATCTACACTAGAAATCAGCCTCCACCTTGCACCTCCCCTCCATATAATCTTTTTTGTTTACTTTATCTTCTCTTTTCTTCCTGTGCCTGCAGCTAAACTTGTTCTGCAGATAGCTGTTGACAGTCTTGCTCAACACTATCACTGCAGGACATGCATGTAAAGATGCTGTTTGCAGAGACCCAGAAAACCTCAGAGTACATCTAGGTCAAATATGAAACTGCTACTGTAGGTTTACTTGAGCTTAATGTCTTTGAGATGTTGCTGCTGTTGTCAAAGCAGCAAAAAAGATTTGAATATATAATCCCTTGCCTCTCTAAAAAACTGAGTAACAAGACTACACCCTTGGGTATAAACAACTTCTCTTGTGATTTCTCATGGTTTGGATTGTGCCTGATTATGAGTTTACATCTGCCCACTCTCAATTCTGTTACACTAATCGAATTTATGATAGAGTTTACTATAAATGTGTACCAAAAAAGTTTTTAATAGATGCCATTATGCACAAGTGATCTACATTTTCTTATGCACACAGAGGGTGTCCACACAGAAAATTCAGCAGTCAAAATAGTAAAACACACTACACTATTGTTTCGTGTGCATGTGACAGACAGCATGTTCCTTAACATGCTCTGCCCATGAACATAAATGCATTCAGTGAGGTTCAACATGTGGTAATCTACAGAGATCAGTGTCCTCTATACGTAGAAACAAAGCCATGTCTGTGAAAGAAGTGGAAATCACGAGCTGTCCTCTGCACTTCTTGAGATCTAAGGCAAACTGCACAGCAGACAGATACATAATGTATAATAGATGAATAAAAATAGATAAACCAAGATAAAAAAAAAAAACATCAGACATGATAAAAATAAAAATACATATTTATTATGATATTAATTCATCACTTAAAAAAATCTATTTACAGTACACCATAATTATCAGGAAATATATGATGTGCACGTATATTTATGTCACTGACTCTTACCTAAATGTTTAGTAACAAAAAGGACAAATACATATTCAGTATGGCATGTGCCTGAAAGTGACTGAGACTAATCATAGCAGCAGGTAAAGGTCCTTCAGAGAATGATAATAGTGTCATATTAAATGAAGCAAAACATAAAGGAATCTTTATGTAACACATTCACTGGCCCATTCTAAACTCTGAATGTCATTATCAATGTCCAATTAAGTCATCAGCTTTGATCTGATGAGCCTAACTGTAATGAATAGTGAGTACAGGAAGACAGTAAAGCAGGTTTGAAAAAGAGAAATGAGACATGCACTAACAGAGCATGTCATTAACTGCAGTCTGCCCTGATATTTGGCTGGATCATACTCCTGCATCAAACGTGCTAGTACAAAAATAGATTTAGTTTAAATTTACATTAGCTTTTTCTCTTCATTTACATTGTTAGTAAGGAAAACAGGGAATCTTGTGGGGATTATCCCCAAGCAACTCTACACAAAACCATTTTGACTGAAATGCTCATTTCCAGTTGAATGTTCGACCCACCAGTTCAAAGAACTTTTTGTTGGGTTTGTGAAAGAACTGGTAGAGTTTTTGAAGGATTGCAGGAGCCACATGAGGGTGAGCTCTGCCTTTTGAGTCATGTAAACACCTTTCTCGCCCATGGTCTCTCAAACAGTAGAATCCTTTTGTTTTATTGAAGTAAAAGTTTGAAGCATTTATCTGGGGTTCTAGCTTTAGGAACTGTTCTACCTTTTCCATCTCGGGGAAGGGGTCCCTGATCAATTCATCCCCGTCCACAACGTGAATGCTCTCCAGTGGGAAGTACTGAAGCCAGTCCTGCATGTGAACATAGTACAGGCTACGATTGAGAGCCTTGTATCCCAGGTTGATCTCACCATCCTTCACCAGCACTGATTCGATTGGTTGGTAGTTCTTGTGCTTTTGGAGACGGTTGTAAAAGACCTGGGTGTAGTCGGAGAGCACCCGCTCAGTGGGGTCTCTGAGGATGAGCAGCAGCTTAATGTCAGGGTTCATCTGATGGATGCGTTTGGGGACTTTGCTGGAGGTGAAGTAGGCCGGTGTCTTCTCTACTGTCAGCTGATTGGGGAAGGCGTAAGGCATCTGGCTAAGATACCAAGGCAAACCCTTCTGAAAGTGACTCTCCCAGTCAAAGAAGTGCACCTCGTTCTGCGCCGCTGCCACCGCGCTGTGCAGACTGAGCATCTCAATCAGCGCCCGTGTCCCTCCCTTCCTCACGCCAATAATTATAATGTGAGGAAACTGTTGGAGGGTCCCGTTTGGGTGGCTACTTGTCCCGTTGTCAGTAGGCAATGATGTGGAAGGTAAAGGTGGCGCCCCAATAACCATTGGCCTGGATGGAACAGGGGGAGACTGCAATGCAAACAGCAGCAGCCCAAGAAGCAAGGCTGCCATGAGGGAGGTCCTGACCCTGGAGGATTTCAGCCTGACAAAAACACCAAACCTGTATCCCACATTGAAAAAACAGTTGGCTGAGGACTATGATCCAACTGAGGAAACAAAAGCCTCTTCCCCGCCAGGAGCAGGAACTGCAATGGAAGAAAGGAAGTGTAATTAGAGAATACCTGGTGAATATTTGGCAGAGGGACAAAACAGGAAAATACCTGCAAGTACACAGTCCATGGGACATTTAAATGACGTGCCTGACACACACATACCTCACCGGTTTTATGACTAAAGGTTAAAGGAAGCAATTGGCCTATAAAATGTATGGCTACTGAGGTGATTCAACTTTAAACAACAAACCAAAAATAATTAGCATTTTTAAAAGGGCTAAAGTGTTGCCAGTACAACGTTATTGCAGTCTTACACGTTTTAACGTCATGTAAACATAACAAAAACATTTATAGCATAGAATTCAATTTAAAAAAGTGTTTATTTTGTATTAAATAAAACGTAGACACATTGAGTTTTGTCTGGTTTAAACACTGTAAACATTTCCCTTTTTTGCAAAAGAGGAAATGTCAAAAGGGGAAAGCACTAATGGTAATAAGTAGATATGATACATACTACAAATTAAAAGGTTGGACGACAATTATAACAGAGTGTTAGTCTATGCACTCGAAGTGTAGATGTTTTACATTTTAATATAGGCACAGTCTGAGTTCGGCTACCTCTCTACACTGCGTTCGCACTGATTAAGAAATATATTGAGGGCTCTCTTACCTTTTTGACTATAATCGTCCACTCGACAAAGATTTCATTGCGTGTTGATCTGGGTTCTGCTCACAGCACGGATACTTCCACAACAGAAGCTCTAAGATCCAGCTCTGTACCGTGCCTGCGGTCTTCTCCGAGCGCACAAAAACTCGCCACCGACCGGGATCCAACTTCACCTGTGCGCCTCCTCTGTGCTGTGTTTCGGAGCCAGACGGTCCTCCCAGTTTTAAGTGTCAGCTGTTGTGTGCCAGCCTACGCGCACATTACGCCTGCAGGACCACCGCCCCTCCCTCTCTGCTTCGCGCTGTTGTAATGTTATGCTATTTGACAGAGATAAAGCTGCTGGCATGCGTAATGTGAGGGGAGAGGACAAACGGAAGCAGATGTGGAAATTCACGGCCACACCTGGAGGAATGTGTCCCGATAACATGAGAAAGAAACAACACAGCGCCCTGATGTGATGTTTTGTCATACAGCAGAGTATTGCCTCATTTTTGCAAAGAGTGCTTTTGTGGCCGATTAAAGACTATTGACCAAAAAGCCCAAAATATCTAAACCGAAGCAGTCTGAGCTGTTCCATACAGAAATTTGTCACCAGTAGATAGCCTGTGCCTTCTCAGGATTTGGGTTGAAGAAAGGCTATTCAGCAAGCCTCCAGGAGTTCTCTCTTCACTCCTGGCTTTCAGGGGAGATCAATAAGAGACAGACCATACATTCATCCCTGCCATTCTCTTCCTCCTTTGTCCATAGTGCAAGTGCGTCTGTGGGTAGTCATTAAGTCCAGGTTGCACAATCTCACCACCTGTTGCACTGCATTTTTTAAAAAACTCACAAATGTTCAAATCCTTCTGCTAACAGTTCAGCAACAGAGTCTGAAATATCTCTCCAGTCCAAAGTGGATATGCAGTATACTTACTGATTCTGAATCAAAGCACAGTTAGTGTGTCACAGTTCCCTCTGAGTCACTTCTGAATGTACAGTCAGTGTGAGAAAAACCAAGTGAGAGTTGATGAAGAAGTGACACATCACAGGTTGCAAATACCTTGTCAGTTTGTGTCACTTTTGCCCTGCAGGGACGAGAAAACTGTGAGAAAACTGCTGACAGATAGCATAGTGCAAGTTCATTTGCAGGGAGAAAATGTGATTAAGTCTATATGATAAGCTCAAGTAAATGCTCTGAATTTTAGCTTGTTTTAATCACATTTTTGTCAACTGTAATTGTTGACAGAGTCCAGTCCTCATGATGATTTCATGTCTAAAGCATGGAAGGCTCAAAGGCTTTGCAATTGAAGATGGATGTATTCTATTTTATCCACATTGGCAAACATTTCTGTTGTGTAGTTTATTTAGGTGAAGGCCATTACACAAATTTAAGCAACACTCTACATATACTGGAAGGCTATGAGCAGAAAGTGGTGCCACACATAAAAGGGTTAACCCCATGTCTTACAGTAGACACATGCTTTCCTGTAGAGAGAATGTAAATGCATGTGCTTTGCCTGTTCAGTGTACAAATTGAAAGTGATATGGCCAAGCATTTCCTCACAAATTAAATTCAGTGGAGCCACTTCATATGGTATAATCCTGCTTTGAGGATCATTAGGAGCATCAGCACCATTTCACAATGTTACTTAACTATAATATTAGTCAAGTCAAAGTGTTTATTTGTCATATGCACATTTAGGAAACGTGTTTCCCTGTCCAATGAAATTCTTACTTTGCCGTCCACATGAATGCCACACAATATAAGTGAAATATAAAGTAGATGAATAAGCAACACAAAATCTAAGGCACTTTAAGCAGCAAATACAGAGATATAATAAAAATATTTAAGAATTTAATGAGAGAATGTATGCTACATGAGAGCTGCATGTGCAGCAGTCCACAGTCCATGTGCAATTATGCATGTGCAAACTGAGAATGTAAACAGTACAGGTCGTCAGTACATGACGTATTTCCTGGTAATAAACTCCTGTCAGCTGTTTAGGAGTCTGATGGCACCATGGCACCAGACTGGCCACCTCCCTCCTGTAGGCTGCTTCGTCCCCGCCAGTGATGCGACCTATTACTGCGGGGGCGTCCGCGG